TCCGCTGGAAGGGGTTAACTAGTCGGCAGACGTGTAGAACCGCGAGCGTCACGGTACAGCTCTGCTAGACCGCTAGGCAGTAAGCAAACCAGCCCTGCTAGCGTTTCTTCTGGGGCACTCGGTCCCTAAACCGCCTCATTTTGACGCACACCTCAGAACTAACAATAAGCTTTAAAGAGAGGGGGTCCGTCCTCTCTCCAAGGCTTAGTCCTGGGTAAGCAAACCAGCCCTTTGGCGGAGCTGCTGGACCTAGCTGCACCACTTCGTCATCACTCTCCTACCGTACCGACCGAGTTCAAGTAGTCCGTCGACCTCGGGGACCCCATCCCCTCCCCAACATTCAGCATACGGCCCAGCAGAAACGCCAAAAGGGCTGGTTTGCTTACCTCGGCTGCTAGGGATTCTTAGGAGGCCTGCCTCTCTTTCTAGTTAGTGTATTTCTTCTTCTCTTCTCCTCGAGTTCTCAAGGGATATTCCTTCAGCTTGGTAATCACCATCACGTTCTCTCCTTAACGGATGAACTCACGATTAGAATGAAGGTGGAAGAAGGAGTAAATCACCTAGTTGAGGGAAGGGTCCCATTTCTCGGGTTCTGGGCCGTTTCTCATGGTTCTTCCTTCTTTCGTGTACCACTCACCATCCCTAGTTAATTTGAAATGGGTTGCCTTTCCAGCGTGAATTCGTCCTTTAAATGACCTCCCATATGCTTCTATGCCCATATGGTGGAGCCCATAGCCCACCAAAAGCAACACAATTGGTACTGCGAAACATCAGCCAAGCTTGAAAATGAGTATAAAACCGTCCACTGCATCGTTCGCTGTGGGAGATATAGTGAGATTGCATTTTTCATGGAAAGAATATTATGTGAAGAATTTCAGATCAACTATGACACGAAGGAGCAGTTCACGTTTGCAGATTTGATCACCAAAGCGAAGTTTATTGGCAGGGCTTTGGTGGCGATGGGAGTCGAGCGAGGGGAGGTAAGGAGTTTTCGAGACTAAATTGAATGGGTAATGGTTAAATGAACCTCAGGTAGTGATGCTGTGCATGGATAACTCGCCTCAGGCCGTCCTACCTCTTTTGGCCGTGCTGTTAGCGCGCGCAGTGGCTTGTACGCTATCACCCAAGTTGTATGCAGGTATATTATTTATTCATTTTCATTGACATCTATCAAATTATAGAGGTATTTTCCGACGGTTTTTTGAGTGGCGCCCCATATCCAGTTGTTGCGCTTAATTGCGGTGGTTTTTGCAGCCGCATGGCCCACCTGAGGTATTAGCGGGGATTATGGCCTAAAGCGGAGTTCATGAAGAAAAGGCTAGCCCATCAGAAATCAAGGTAGAGGTGGTCAGTGGTGCAGGAGTGAAGAAAAATCCGAGAAAAGTGGCTCAGTACCACGGTCAACCCTACGTTCGGACAAGTACCAACGGGGGGTCGTAGTTTGTTTGTGGGTGGGTTCGTGTTGTTTTCAGTAGTACGAAATTTTACATGTATGACTGAAACGAACGGCATAAAATTTTCCGTTCATTGTAACATTCCCTAAGGAAAAATGAGTGGAGTATAGCTAAGAAATAGAGCGGGAAATGGGAAAAAGGAAAGAATTATGAGATGTAAAAGATTATCGACAACCGCTAATCCACCAATTCAACAACGGCTACTGTCCACAGAATGAAATGCATTTCCCCAACTAGTGGAATCCGATTGCAATAGATTTCGAATCGCGATGCTTCCCAGAAAATCCAAAAATGTTCGCGAGCACTGAGCAAGCGCCCCCCCCCCCCTCATCGTGGTGTCTTAATGTTTATCTTTGAACTACTTACATTTATTTTAATCTCTTGTCCTTTCGAATCGCATAGGTGGTGTATCAGTAAGTCGTTTTAATGGTCCACCAGTGTGTAGCCTCCTATGGTGCAAAATGTGCGAAATAATTATAGGGAACGTTATGAAGACGTCGTTGCTCATTGGTGATGGAGTAGAAGAGGTAGACAGTTAACCGGTCGAAAGACATCTTAAAGAGAACCGTTCAACACTTAAAATGCAATCCATTTCCGTCTGAATATCCGCCAGGCGGAAGTGGTGTAGTGACAAGTGGCGCGCTTACCACGCGAGCGGTCCGGGATCAAATCCTGGGTCGTGAGTCGCCCGGGCCAACCAAGCCTTCCATCCCTCCGGGGTCGGTTAATTGGTACCAGACTTGTCTGGGAGGATAAAAACACTGACTTGTACATCGGCTGGCCCCCGCAAGTCATTGTATAGGCCACATCGCATTCAAACGCCACTACGAATGTACAAATGGAAGTAGAATGCGTGCCGCATCCCAAAAAGGGATTGATCAACGGCAAATGCTTTATCCTTTATCCTTTAATTCCTCTAGGGGAGCACGATAGATCACTTTAATGCTGATCATAGTCTCTAGTATATCAGTAGAAGGCCCGAACCACTAGTAAGTTCGCTTGCCAGGTGGGTTAGCTGGCTACCGTAGGCGTACCGCCGCTGCGCAAGAAAGCCAAGAGTCAGCGACCGCAGTAGCAGCACGTGAATGTCGATCAGGACGTACAACGGTACACTATTGAGCTGCACGCGAATTTACTACGTAGACGCTGCGACTCGTCCGCTGACTCTGCCTTGCTTGCCCCGCGCGACGGGCCTCCTGTCAGGTACCCCGCGTGAGCTATGTGGCGTTGGGCGTGCCCTTCGCGGTGACGCATTACTCTGATCACTTCCTTGAAAAGCCGTCCTTCTGCAGTATAATTACCTGCCCTTTCTCCCATGCTCGTTTCCCGTGAAGTCCTCCTCTAATTACCCTCCTGCGCCAGGGTGAATAACGGTCGAGGAAATCCTCGACCATAGCTCTCTACCATGCGAGAGTAGTGCCGAGAGTGAACATCCGCGCGGAGAGCACAGACGGCACGGCATGGCGAGTGTGAATGTCCGCGCGAGAGATCGTCTCTGATCGGGCAGAGAATCCTTCGTATAAAACTCGCCTCACTTGCTGCGTTGAGAATAGGAGCACCGGCTGCCCACTGCCACAAGAGATGACGTCGCGGCATTCCATAGTATAGAACACATTGTGCAGGAATTGTTACGACGGCCCTCTACGACACCAACAATTTTCAGATATTATGTACGGGTGCGCGAGAACTAGCCGATGGTTATCCGATACTTGAAGATCTACAATTTGTTGGTGACTCCAGTGGTAATTCGTAGTGCTGATTGGCATCATAATCAATCTCGTACTATGCTTCCAGTGAGTGATGATGTCATGCTTCCACGGATTCAACCACGTCACGACATCGTCTACTTACCGTTTTCAAGCGGAATCCATGGCAAACGCAAAGGAATTCTCACGACTCATTACATAATGAACGCCAAAACAATGATCTCTTTCAAGTAAGTCCAGAGTAAACCCTCACAGCTTGGAATAACCTCAATGATCGTGACTCTTTTCAGCTCCAATTCTTACATTCATCCCGAACGGGGCGAATATACCGTGGCGATGTTGCCGTTTCACCGTCAGCTCGGACTTGAAGCAATCTTCATCTCATTGCTGGCTGGAGCTACAGTAGTCACTGTGTCCAACTTCTGTGTACATACACTTATGACCTGTATAGATAGATTCAAGGTGAGCTGAATTACTTCCTATCTGATTCAGACCTAGAAATGGCGCTGTTGTATGTGCATGGTCTGCGTCAGTCTGACGTCACGAAATTCACAGCTCACATTACAGCAGCAGCGAGGCATTGGCACTTACAAGGGAGGTCGTTCAGGGTGTGCCAAGCTTTTTCAAAATGGTTTCTTGCATGACATTGGGGCACATATGGGGACCACAGAAGCATGGTTCATTTTTCCTGAACGGCCCTCTGAATACCAGAAAAGGGGTCCCTAGTTCGATTCCTCGTGGTGACAAATTTTTGCATTTCGAGTTGACGTTTCCAAATTCGCGCAAAATGGAGTTAGCATGAATAATTAGTACCATATTCATGATTAGGACCGTCAGTAACCCTTACAAATAGACTTTGATTGAAAAACTGGTGAAAAAGGTGTGACTAGGGACCCCCTTTTCTGGTATTCAGAGGGCCGTTCAGGAAAAATTAACCATGGTTCTGTGGTTCCCGCATGTGCCTCTATATCATGCAAAAGACCGTTTTGAAAAAGCTTGGCACACCCTGAAAGACCTTCCTGGTAAGTTATGGTGTACGAAGTTGTTCGGCACTT